GATAAGCCTTACAAAGTGGTGGTGAAGGCGGTAGCAAGAGGCAGCAGAGGCAGCGGTGTTAGTCAGTAGCCCTATACACCTCCAACAACAATGGAGGAGTCAATTTTGTGCTGTCCTTTTTCTATCTATTAATCATTTTAACTTACTTGCTACACTGTTAACCCCCTTCAGAATTAAAAAAATTTCTGATCAGTACTTACCGAGATACAGTGCCGAGAAGTTGACTCAAAATGATCTGGTGGCGGCAACATCGACGATTTTCACATACACGCATTACTTTATTTAACGTTTTTTGTAGTTTTTTCTTTTCTAATTTTTTTCCTTTTCCTACTAACATTTGGGGCCTGAGAGACCAATACTGTATATAATGTATATATATAAACTCACTGTATTGAACACAATAACTGCACTAAAGTTATTATTATATTATTGTTTACCACTTTTGTTTATTACAATAAACATGCACAAACCTTGTATAATACTAATGTTCTATCATACATTTACAATCACTGGACATGGTTTTAGAACTGCTGGGGCTTGTGGAACTCCTTGAAACAAGGCACCATGCACAGAGGTACCTTACATTCCTCACACACAAACAGTGTCTTTGCGTCTTTGTTGCCGTCGTTTTGTTTGTGCACAGACAACACATCTCTGAGCAAATTTCTTCTGAGTTGAAGGAAGCTGTATTATGAAATGATCACCTTCCCTCCTCAAACGCTTGGGTATATTCTCAGGAATTTGAGGACCTTGTTGTATAGCAGGTGTTGTTACCTGGCACTTAATTATGAGTTGTCTGACAACAGACAAACAAAATTCACCATGCGGTGGTCTGTTGCCAGTCTTCACTTGGTACATATTATATGCATTGAGCATTGAAATGTCCACGAGATGGAAGGAAAGTTTCATGTACCACTTGTAACTTTTACGAACATAATCAACAAAGCCTATCTGCACATCATATCTGTCAACCAAGTGCATGTTTTGTGTATAATCAATCACTGTCACTGGTTTTCGAATACAGTGGAACCTCAAATCGAACTGCTCAACACAACCAATTATGAAAGTGTATTTTTGTAAGTGCTTTTATAAGTGTATTTTTGAGGGTCTGAAATGGACTAATCTCCTTTATATTATTCCTGATGGGTATAAATTCATTCGGTAAAGGCACTCGATCAGCCTTCTGGACTGAAGAATGTTTGAATTTGAGTTCCAGACGTTCATTAGTCCTATAATTTTGCCTTTTCTTGCATTTCGTTACGGTGATGGTTGTCCCCCAATTTGACATCTCGTTTCATGCCACCGAATCCATGTGTCATTGACGCCCAACACCTGACATCACCATGAGCACCTGCGTTTGAGCGGGCATTTGTTTACGATTGAACGCACTGGCCCAAAAAGTCTGCTTGTTCACCGCAAGAATCCCCGAGTAAAGGGCTTTGTCCCCAAATTATCGGTAATAATGATCCCCCTTACCAAGAAAAGGTGCCAAAATTTTCTCACTCCATGGAGATACCCAATAACATTTTGGGGTATCTTTAAAGTTTTACTCCCATGAAAAATATCCAATCCCGGGCCAGTCCAGTAAAACATTTTTTATCCAAAAGCTTTTCCTTTTGCTCGGTATAACTGCTTGAATGACACCCTACCTTTTTCAACAAAATCAAAGACCGTAAATTTTCAAGATTCTTGAAGGGATAAAAGAAAGTGAACTTTTGTTTTGATCATAAAAGCTTTTTCAATTTTGATAACCTGTCACTTTTTGCCGGCCGGTTTTGTCAGAAATGCAAAATACAAACGAAGATAAACCCGTTCACTGGGGTGATTTCACTGAAGACCAGGGTAGAAATTAGCCGATCTGTGGACCAGTATGCCTTTATATTATGCTTGTAGACACGAGGCATAAGCATTATTGTTGCAAAAAGCAAATACATTTCTGCAACACTCGTCTCTTTCCACCGGTGTAGTCTTGACTGTGGTGATATGATCGTATTTGCCATGGTGTACTCAAAATACTTATTACTTTCCCTGACAATTTCCATCAATGGCTGGTCAAAGAATAATTCAAAGAATTCCAGTTCATTGCCCGTGTTTCCAAGGGAACAAGTAGGTAGAATTCCACTTTGAGATTCATCAAAGTGGCGAGGTTTGGGAACAAAATTGGGATTTTGCTGCCAATCCCAGATACGGTTTGCTGGTGGATACTGGACATCATAGGCTGGTTGTGCGGGTAGTTGTGGTGGGCTGATGCTCCGCTTTGTCCTTGAACTGTGGAGTCAGCAGCGTGAGTCCCAGCCTGGGCTGGCGAGTCACGCATGGCCGTGGCACTACCATTACCACTACCACCATCTACTGATGCCTGTGGTCTATCCACGCCAAGTGTAGCCATATCATCCTCACTTTCACTATTCCTGGTGTAGGGCCACGGGATGTACTCCGTCCCCTGGGCACTGCATAGGGTACACTACCTGAGCGCATGCGGCGGCATACATACCGACGCTTCACTGGTGAATATGTTTCCTCACTATCACTACTCGAATGATCGTCAAGAGCAATAAAAATCACAATCCACGTCACTATCATCATCATTACTGAAGTCAGAGGCCTGGCCACGCAAAAATAATAGTTTTCTCTTGCGTTGAGGTACAACTGACCGTGACTGAGGAGTGCCCACACCAGAGGTAGAAGGTTGAGGATCGTCAAGGTTTTCTGCGCTATTATCGATATCCTGGTCATTCCTTTCAGTCACTAATTGATCAAAGCCAAAGAATTCGTCTTCATTTCCACTTCCATCACTGTCAGAACTATCAGATAGGAAGAGGAGAGTCCCAATTTTCCTTGGAGTGAGAGCTGCCTTGCGACGAGGCATGGTAAACAAGGGTAACCGAGCCGGCGTTCCCACAATGCTATGCGGGCACCTAGATTTTTTGTTTATGGCGCACACCCACTACGCAGACCCGTTCACTCACATGTAGAGCCTAAAAGCGTTTTCGTGCTAAATTTGACTGCGCTAGAATTTTGGCGTAGATCTACGGTTTGGACACTGAACGTGAAGCCGTAGATCTACGGGACGGACCCTGAAAGGGTTAATGCTACACTATCACTGGCTGGCGCTATAGCCTTTATCAACTCCTGCTTTAGTATCGTACATATTGCCAAATCACTGAAAAAGGCACATTGTCCCCTCTCTCTCAGCCCTTTACCAAATGGCTGTATGGCATGAGGAACTTTCTTTGGGCCAATGGTGGCTTATTTAGCAGTTGCAAGCACTAAAAAAAAAATGGAATACAAAATATATCACATGAACACATGGAATTGTCCTTACTGGCTGATAAACAATGGCACACTGGCTGTAAATGGTGTGCCAGACCGCTCGGGCTGTGCGGACACACTTGGGACGAATGGCTAATACCGAGTTCAATGACAATCAATCATCGAGCCAACATTTTGAGAGAAAAAAAAAAATAATCTGAATATTAAGAATGCCAATGACGATGTAATCCGAGGGTCCACTATTTTGTCGTGCCTGGAATTCCACTGGAACGGATTAATTCCATTTCAATTAATTTAAATGAGCAAAACTGACACGACAAACGAGCAAATCGAGATGCGAGCAAGGTCACGGAACAGATTAAACTCGTAAGTAGAGGTTCCACTGTATATGTACTCCTATCCTCAGCGTACATACTGGATCATTAGGCAGTAAGTGCATCCCACAAAACAGTATGGCTTTTGTTTAAAATTAGGACAAACCGCTTTGTCTGTCAATGGTTTCCATCAATAATACAGGATTACATGCACAAACATTACATATTTAATTGCCATGTTTACCATTTGCCTAGGTAGTAGGTTGGTAGACAGCAACCGTCCAGGGAGGTACTACCGTCCTGCCAGGCGAGTAAAACTAAAGCCTGTAATTGTTTTACATGATGGTAGGATTGCTGGTGTGTCTCAAACATGCAAGATTTCAGGTATGTCTTGCTACTTCTACTTACACTTAGGTCACACTACACATACACATACATGTACAAGCATATATATACACACCCCTCTGGGTTTTCTTCTATTTTCTATCTAGTTCTTGTTCATTTCCTCTCATCTCCATGGGGAAGTGAAACAGAATTCTTCCTCCATAAGCCATGCGTGTTGTAAAAGGTGACTAAAATGCCAGGGGCTAGTAACCCCTTCTCCTGTAACAATTACTAAATTTAAAGAGAAACTTTCGTTTTTCTTTTTGGCCTACCGTGCCTTGGTGGGATATGGCCGGTTTGTTGAAAGTAGTAGTTTACCACTTGATTCGTAGTTGCTCATCCTGTAGATTTTTTTTTTTTTTGTCTAATTCTGCATAGCATTCATCTGCTTAGGTTTTCCATGAAAGCTTTTTTTTTTTTTTATTTTATTTTTTTTTTTTAACAAACCGGCCATATCCCACCGAGGCAGGGTGGCCCAAAAAGAAAAACGAAAGTTTCTCTTCAAATTTAGTAATTTATACGGGAGAAGGCGTTACTAGCCCCTTGCTCCCGGCATTTTAGTCGCCTCTTACAACACGCATGGCTTACGGAGGAAGAATTCTGTTCCACTTCCCCATGGAGATGAGAGGAAATAAACAAGAACAAGAACTAGAAAGAAAATAGCAGAAAACCCAGAGGGGTGTGCATATATATATATATATATATATATATGCTTGTACATGTATGTGTAGTGTGACCAAAGTGTAAGTAGAAGTAGCAAGATGTACCTGAAATCTTGCACGTTTATGAGACAGAAAAAGGGACACCAGCAATCCTACCATCACGTAAAACAACCATCATGTAAAACAATTACAAGCTTTCGCTTTACACTCACTTGGCAGGACGGTAGTACCTCCCTGGGCGGTTGCTGTCTACCAACTACCTGTCTACCATACAAGAATAACGATTCATTCCTTCCTCCTTTGACGAGTGTCATGAGTACCTCCATCCCTCTCACTCTACAGTTACCATGATCAACAGAGGTCTCACCTTGCTCTGAATTAGAAGTCTCAGCTCAGTGTCACCAGCGGGACGAGGGCGTTTAAGTGGAGTCTCTCCTTCCATCTCCGACATCCGCTTCATTCCTGAAATTAATATAATATTTAACATTTACCCAACTACATTATCCAGATACAAAAATGCAATAAAAGAATTTGGTATTTTCCCCTGCTGATATGTCTCCAAACAGAAAAATATCCGACATTGTATTATGTAAGTGGGGCAGGGTGTAGGTCAACACTACCTGAGCCTAGACAGGTTACCCTCCCCCCTCCCCCACAAATAGAACTGAAGACTTCACACCATATACAGTTCTGCTCCTGTAACAGGTAATAAAATAAGTAACCCCACATTCACTGATGTAATGCAATGTCTGTACTTTAAAAACATTCAGTCTCTTAATTTGTGGACCAAGAAATGCTATGAAATAACTAAAAAAAAATAATTTGACATTTTAAGCCAATATAAGGTAGACAAAATACCTAAAGTGTACATCATAAAAAAAAAAAAAACACACAAGGTTATAAATGTTTTTGCACACAACAATAGGAGGTCACAGTTAAGAAATAAGGAAAAACCTGTAAAAGCTATAAGTTTCTTTCACAAAGATGTTAATTGCTCAGGAAATATAAACTGAGGAGTCTGAATCCCTTCACTGTTGGAAGCCCTGAAATTCAAAGTGCTGCGAATATCAGCAATAAAGAAAAAATTCTTATGAATTGGTAGAAAAAATATGAAGCTTGAGAGAAAACCTAGGGAATTATGCAGGCAATTACATTGCTAAATTCGACTGAACACAAAAAACATCCATTTAACTATAAGAATTATTCTAAAGTGCACTGAAGTCAGTAATTCGGACAATTTTACATAATTAAAAAAAAAAAGTCCAAAATTAAAATGGTAGACATTTCAAGCAACATCACCTCTGTTCATTAACCCTTAAATGGTCCATACGTATATATACGTTCTCTCGCGTAGCGCCCCAAATGTATCACCTGGAGTTTACCTGGAGAGACTTCCGGGGGTCAACGCCCCCGCGGCCCGGTCTGTGACCAGGCCTCATATATACATGTATATGTTTCCTTTGTCATTCATTCAACATTGCCACAATAAGCCCGAGTCACATAGACATGAGAGAATGGGTGGGTGCACTCGCTGTGCACTATATGAAAAAAATTGGGGATGCCTGGGTACCATATGCTCTTTTTTCCTATTAAGTTTTTTTTTTTTCCAAAAAATTCGGGGCACTATGCGAGAGAACATATATACGTTTGGACCATTTACGGGTTAATCATGTTCTCAGGCAAGTCCAATCTTACACTTGCCCTTCATTTTTAATTCTTCACGATGATCAAAGACCTGCCATATTTCTTGGATAATAAAACAAAGCCAAGAATGAAATTTTCAGTTTACAGCATCCAAATAACTGAACCAGATCTAGAAAAAACAAACTGAGGGGGTGGGGAAAATGGCTTAACTCATCCTCAGGAAAAATAATTAAATTAATATTTATGCTACTCTGAACTCAATTTCAATCTATTTGCAGTTTTAAAACCAACCAAAATCATCTCTATTCATTCTATCATAAGATACCAAGACAGCTACTAAGAAAAAACCTAGGAATGGCCTCAAAGTCACTATTTCATACCACACAAGTTCAAAAGTTTGCTTCCCTCGCTATGCACTGCATGGGGCAGGATTTTTAGTGCTGTGCAATTGCCTCACAAGACATTCATGTCTAATCCAAAATTTACCACTTCAGCTTATCTGAGGTAACCAATATCAAAACTAAAATCTACATAAGCAACCCTGGTGTCAATGTAGATTTACATACAGTGAAAGGGTCCAACACAGACTCTTTAATAGCATCTTAAAAATGATGTTAATGCTTACAAAGTTTTTCTTGATTCATGGTCACAGGTTGTGTTTGTGGTAGATCACTTATCTTCATCCCTGCTGTGAAAGATGTGTATCTACTCTAACTATACATGTACCATTTTTGTGCATACAGGAAGATTTTGCAGCTGGATTTGCCTTTAGGATGGGCATCAATGTTCTGAGATCATTTATTACTAGCATTACAAGATACAGCAGTTTTGACAGGCTACTGATGCAACAGTGTGGGAATAGCAGGCAATTTCTTTACCTGTAGTCTCTTCTGGAGTTTACTGCCTCTGTGGCTCAGTCCCAGACCTGCCCTCCTGGTTGCTGCCCTGATTGATCAGGCTGTGTGTTCACTGCCAGCAGTCCAACTTATTCAAAACAGACTGGCTGATCAGTAACCGACTTGAGGAATTTGTAAAGTGCCTTCCTTAGGTAGCCAGGGGTCTTTGCTTTTTACAGGAGCCATTTTGCACTGTTTGCCAAGCCTCTTATGTTCATATGTAACGGCAGTGTCATCTGGCAGGTAGAATTAATGGTTGCATAGCAGTGTGGAAGCAGTGTTGGCATCAGTGATCTGCTATGTTATTTTCTTTTGGTAGGGAAGTCAAAGTACAGCAGATGAATAGCTGTATCCACTTATACCACAGCTCTGATCTTTGTGGGTGCTTCAAATCTTGCTGTGTTTAGGTCCATTTCTTCAGTCTGTTAAGATTGACTGGTATTTGGATAAGTATATGCTCATTCCTTTAGCTAGTATGGCAACTTCAGCTCTAGCTTCATTTACTAGGTTACCAGTGTGGCTCAGAATCCAATTTAGTGCAGTTTTACATCCCTGTACATTTAGAATGTGAAAGACACTCATGATAGCTGTGATAGCCTTTCATTGTCCTGTAGTCCACCAATGGAATATCTGATGAGCAGTTATGGAATCTTCATGAAAAATGTAGTGTTTATTTTGTTATAAAGCATGAATTAGTAATTCCCTTAATTGCCACTGGCTCAGAGCTTGTACTGAGTTGCCATCCCTTTGACTGTCCCCTTGCTGGGCTGCATGCATGTTACCTAGATCTAATGAACTATCACAATTAAGTACACCACAGTTATGACCAGCTTGCATCATGCTTCATTCCTTGTGGCACTGTAGGGTTTGTTCTGCATAGTCATTTTCTCACCAAGGTATGCAATGTAAAACTTTCTCCTGGTTTCAGTTTCCATGTTGGCAGTTGATTTTTCAGCAGTCATGACATAAAACATTTTTCCCAGCAATGACCATGGTTCTCAGCCAGTTACTGGTGAAGTGAATAAGTCTTTAATGCTGAGATTCTTTTTCCAGAATCTGTCAACAAATGGTTCTGACTGCCATACAGGCATTAACAGTATAATTCCATGAGCAAGGAGTTTAACATCTAGCCTAAAACAAGTTGGTTTAGTCCCCTGGGATGCTTCAAACATGGATGAAAACAATAGTGGGACTGTACAAGTCATTGGGAGGAAAAAAAAAAAAAAAAGTCAACAGCATAAAAAACAAAACACTACACCCGAGTACCATAACCATATGCATTACAAGGAGATGGACCTGCGAGACAGAATAAGCATATAAAGCAGCATAAGTGGCAGAAATACTGGACTAATCTCACCAGTATTAATTTTACTAACAAAATTACAAGCACAAAACAAACATGGTAATAACTTTCATCTCTGAAAATATAGTCCTAAACGCAATGAATAATCAAATATCGTACATACATCAACTTATCCAAACCATGTTTTAAGGCTTCACTGTGGCGAAACGTTTCCTCAATAAAGATACCCAAGAGTTGCACATGTGTCTAATTTAACAAACCCCACTAACATTTTTTTAATGAAATGTAGATCTTTTATTATAATTTGTATAGATGAGAGTACAAATTGCAAAGAGGCATTGATTTATGTTGCTTCACATACTTGCATTAGACCAATTCAAATATGATGGAAGAGCCTAGAATAAAACCAAAATAAAAATCTGGTTATCTTTATTTACAAGTAACAATCAGCAAAATTGGTGGCTTTCACTGAACAGACAAGCTACACAGCTGCCTGGAAAACACTTAACCCTTTGACTGTCGAAGGGCCAAATCCTGAAGTTGCTTCTGGTGTCGCAAAATATTCGAAAAAAAAAAAAATTATTTTTTCTTATGAAATGATAGAGAATCTTTTCCCGATTGTAAAGACACCAAAAAAACGAAATTTGATGGAAAACTGGCGGAATTACGCTCTCGCGAAGTTAGCGACTTCGGCGATATTTAAAAATCGGCAATTTCGCCCACTTTGAACCCTATTTTCGGCTAATTCCGTTATTCCAGTCAACCAAACTCATAACTATTTCTTCAGAACTCTATTTTTTCTATCGATTGAGTACAAGAAACTGCCCATTTACCGATTTCAACTACCCAATAACATGGTCAGAAATTTGCAATTTGGCCAATTTCACGAAAATTAAAAAATACGACAATTTCAAAATAAGGTCCAGAATGAACAATGCAGACATTCCTGGCTCTAAAATAACATTTTCTTTGTTCATCAGTCATGTCTCCAGGTCCCTGTGTTATTACTCTTGCTTTTTATTTTGAAATTTTATTCAAACAAAAAATAGAAGATTTACTGTTATGCAGACTACTGCAATACTGTAATAATTGTAAAAATTACATCAACCCATTCATGACTGCGTATTAGAATGGCTATTTGGACATTTATTGGACAATGACATCATTTGTTCACTTTTGAACATCGGCAAAAATCAAACATTTGCTGTACTTTGTGCTCCATTTCCAGGTTCTTTTTATAGTAAAATTAATCAAAATCACCTCCATTTCTATAATATAGTTTCCATTCTATCAAATGAGACCAAGAAAACGAGAATACAACCACAAATACTATACGAAAATAGACCACAAAGTCGGCATTTTAATTAAAAAAAACGGTCGGAGTTTTTTTTTTCTCATTATGCACTGCGTGCTCCAGGATTTTTTTTATATGGTGCACACTGACCACACAGACCCATTCTCTCACATGTGGGCCTACTAGCTTTCTCCTGCCTGATTTGAAGCCGCTAGAATTTATGAGTATATATACGTCAAACACGGTACCTCGCAAACGTATATATACGGCCGCGACAGTCAAAGGGTTAAAATGCCACACTAAGTATTTTCATCCTTTTAAACCT